CTTTTATAGAGTTGACTTAGTAATAAGAATAAAATTAATAAATTTATGAGAAAAAGGAAGGTTGATATACATTTGATAATAGATTAACAAAATAAGTATTTAGACATTAAAGTATTTAGGATTACTTAAATTTTGCTTCCATTAAAATCATGTAATTTTTTAAGAATTGACGTTCAAATTACCATAAAAGTTGTAAATTTATGGAGGAAAAAATAGATAATTTCAAAGTTTTCCTTTAGATTTTGCGTTATAACACTCACCTAATAATATTATTATATTACATTTACCTACCTTATTTCAAATATTTTTTGCAATACTTCTAAGTAAATACAAATATTGATTATTGTTCAGAATTATAATTTGGACTAATTTGTTCTTTAAAAGCAACTTAAGAATCTTGATCAAAGAATTTTCTAGGCAACATCACACATATAAATAGAATTTTCATCTAGATTCCTAGATATTTAAATAAAATATTTGATAAAATAAATAAATGATCAATCTTACACCTCTATAAGAATAGTACTAATAAGACCTTTTTCAAAAAAATTATCTTTATTTCAATCTATTCCAGTAGTTGCCTTTATTGTTCAAAGAAAATAAAGGTTCTAATTGTTCATTAGTGATGAATTATTATTTGTTTTCCCTTTTTTTAAATCATGTAGTGGAAGAAAGTATTAGACCTCTTTAATAAATTAAAAGGTGTAAATTTGAAAAGAGAAATTGTTGGAAAGAACTCTAAAATCTCAAAATAAATATATTACATGTTAGACATGGATAGATTTCACATCAACTTATTTATGTGTTGATTTATTTTAGATTTAAATTTTTTTTATTATGGTTATTTATATAAATAAATTGTATATGAATATTAATTTGAAGAAATAAATTGTTGGAAAAAAAGTCTAAAATTTCACCAAAAAAATACTATAATACATTGTTATATATGGAGAGATATCACATCACCTTATTTATGTGTTGATTAATTATAGATGTAGGCATTTTTTTCCTCATGGTAATTTATATAAAAAAAATTAATCAAAGATAAAAAAAATCATAATCTTTTATCTTTTTTAAGAGATATGGTAAACTCTAAAGAGCCAAAAAAAATAATATTACTATCATACACAAAAATAAAAATCATTATGCTTTAAAAGAGAAGTCATGTTACCATTCGATTCAATGTATACATTTACAATGAAAAAAAGTATTTTTACTTAATATTAATACTTAGCCATCAAAAATTTATGTTACAAATTTTGTTGGCAAAATGAAAAATTTTGATAACAAAACAATATGATGAAAATTAATATATTACTACGTTAGGCAAATCATGAATAAAAACTAATAATTCAAGCTTGCCTAGAAAGAAAAAAATAGTCCAATGAGAATATATTGAACAACTGAGGTTTTCCTTTCTCCCATCGCTTAAACTTTATATAGTAATGTCAACATTTGTTTCACCAACAATATATATGCCGCAATAATATATGTATATATATATATATATATATATATATATATATATATATATATATATATATATATATATATATATATATATATATGTTATTGTTATTGTTGTTGTTCTTATTTTTATTCTTATTCTTATTGTTATTGTTGTTTTTATTATTATTGATTAATAAAAAGAGTGAATGTGTTACGTTATTTTCTATACCTAATTTTATATTTGTCACGATTCAAAACGAGTCATGAGTGACACCCACACTTAACCTCCTAAGTGGGCGAAACAAGGAACCTAAACCCCAACTCATACCAATAATTCAATTACAAATACCAATAAAATGTAGAAGCTCAAAACTTATTAAAGTAACCAATCCAATAAACATCTGAACCCTAACACTTATTATCGCAAAACTCTGAAAGTCATCACATCAAGGACATCTGTTCTCAAAATACCAAGTCTATGAGTATTAAGACACCAAAATATGTAAAAAGATATTTCAAGTCTGAAATTCAAGGACATCATGCTATGAATGAGAGAATCCAACACGAGCTAGAAATAAAAGCTCACCCCGAAATCTGATGTATTGGAGACTGGCTAGAGCTGGGGCGAGTGGAAGTCGATCGTACACTCACTGCACTCAACACAAGAAGAAGAAGCAAACACAAGTAAGGGTCAATACAAGGAACACGTACAGAGTAGGTATCATAGGCCAAACTAAAATAGAAATTAATATACAATGAAAAATAATATAAAATTAGCTATGACACTTGTGACAAGCGACAAACAACATGAACAAGCTACAACGGAAGCAAGTACACAATAATCACAATATCCAGCACACATATGGTGACTCATGCCTCCACACAACGCTCATTTGGGAAATGAGTTTATTGAGATTGAGTACATTAAGTTATTTCAATATCTTTTTCCTTTAATGTTACCGTGTCGGAACATGACACTCCCATCCAATTATACCGTGTCAGAATGTGACACTCCGATCCAAGAATACCGTGTCGAAACGTGACACTAAGATTCAAAAATACCATGTCTAAATGTGACGGTCCGATCTGATAATATCGTTAATTTATTATCTATCATCAACACTTTAAATTCATCAACAATATTTCACCAAGTCTTCTTTATTCAAGGCATCACTTCGATAGAGAGGGTTGAAGATAATAAGTTGCACGGTCTCAGGATTTCAAACCAAACATAAAACACACAGTCAAGTACATGACGAACTTCACAATATCACTCAATTGCATATCAATCACTATAAACAGTCTATCTATCAAATAGAAATAAACATAACCTACCTCCAATGGAGAGCCGAAGCCAAACAAGCTACTTCTCCAATCCTTTTTCTTTCTTCAATGCCTCCAATCTTTCCAATATATCAAGTATTTATGCATAATTTGTAAGTTAATGAATCTATAAACAGTCATATTATTTTATGTCCAGCAGAGACCCAAAAACTCAACTAATTCCATAATCAATTTTCTAAAATTTAAACCTAAGGGTAAGTCTCAATTTCTTCAATTATCATATTTTTTTATAGTATTCAAACGATATGATACACCTAACAATTAATACATATCTTAATGAATTTAAACTAGAATCAAAATTATAATGATATACGGAAATTTCTAACACGTAATGAAGTTAAAAGGGATGTTGACATTACCATCACTAAGGACAAACAAATGTATACATTAATTGACCGATATATAAGTTTGATCATACATAATGTTTGGTTATTATTTTCATTAAGTAGCCGTCAGAACCCTTTTTTTACCCTACTGACTAATGTTCACTACAATTAAACAAACACGAGAATTAGATCCTTTAAGACACTACTTTATAATTAATGCCTTCAATGAATTTCACCCAACTTTCTCAGTCAACAAGTTATAGTTAAACTCATCTCGTAGAAATTCAACATACACCATAACATTTATATTTTTTACAAAAGTAATATATTCTTCCCACAATCTGCATGTTAAGAATTAATAAAGAAACTTCCCCTAAACGAACCCACACTTGACCTTTGATGTAGCCGCATAGGTAAGTCGTCATTCTCACATTGTTTTTATGCGTCTATATTTCTTCTTTTCTACATATCAGTTCTCACCCTAATTATCTTATAACCAATAATAAAAAGTGGTAAAAGTGGTGCACTATTTATATTACTTTTATTTTTTTTAACCACCAACTAAATTATTATTAAAACTACCCCATTAATTTCATAATAATAATCATGAATAGTCAAATAACCCATTTAAATTTATCGAAAAGTATTTTATGAAATAAAAAGTTCTAGTACCCAAAACACCCAAAAAGGGTCATTACATTAGATACCAATTTACCCATTGTTCGTCCTCGAACGATCAAAAGAAGGTGAGAGTAAGAAAAGGTATTTGAATTGGTAAAAGGTGTGAATATCTTTCATGCATATCAATCTCACTCTCCCGAATAGATTTTTCAACTGGTCGATTCTTCCTTGAACCTTGATAGGGGCAATCTCTTTTAACCAGAACTTACGGTCCTTCTGATCTAGAATAGCTACAGGATCCTCCTCATAAGATAAATTCTCATCAAACAAAACAGAGTCCCATGAATGATGTAGTTTCCATCACTATGATATTTTTTCAACATAGACACATGAAATACCGGGTACACTCCTGACTAAATTTAAGAACTTCAAATGGTCCAATATACCTCGGACTAAGATTAGTTGTCTTACTAAACCGCATCACAACATTCATGGGTGAAAGATTCAGTAATACATGTTCACCCTCAATAAACTCGAAGTCCCTAACCTTCCGATCTACATACTCTTTATAACACCCCAAAAATTTATGACTTGGTATAGATCCTACTCACATGAACTAAGACTCAAAACGTTGTTTCTAATCCTAAAATAATGTATTGAAACTAAGTAGGAATTGTTAGAGTCAAAATGTTAAGAAATGACCATGATGTCCAAAGAATTGTGAAATGTGTGCTAGTGTGCCTTGGAATGTTTCATGGAGTTTTGAGAGTCGAAATTTAATCAAATTTTGTGGAAAGGTGATAAATATGAGTTAGAGTGTTTTTAGGGTCTAAATGTCTAGGTAATACTCCCCATGGACCAACCCAGGGATCCTAGAGGAGGACCCATCCATTGACCCCAAAACTGCCCAATTGACAATTTGCAACCGTGAGCACCAACGACGAGCCGTCGATTGGACAGCGCTCCGTTGTTTGGGTAAGTTAATTGACACTTATTCAAAATCCCAAAGATGATCCAACCCCCCCCCCCTCTTTGTCACCAATGACGGAGTGACAGTACGGGGGCATTGATGGAACTACATGGCATCGACGTGGTCTCGTCGTTGAGACCTCACTTCACTGTCCTAAAATGTTTTAGTAGGTTGGTTAGGGAATTAATTAATTAATTAATTATGGAATTATGTTGGTAATATTTGATTAATTAAGGACTATAAATTATCCTATGTCAACTAACTAACCTAACACCTCATTAATTGCCAACCCACATCTATCTAACTTCTCTCTAGCTTCTCTCTTCCCAAACTCAAACCTCCATTGAAGGAACACTAGAGCTCCAAGTCAAGGATGGATTCACCAAGGTTTTAATCACAAATTCGTGGAAATATCATCACTAAGGTATGATTTCTTTCACTCTTGGGATTTTTTCCCCCAAGATGTCCTTTCAAAGATGATTTTCAACTTCCCCAAAACTAGTGTTTCAAAATAGATATGGATTCTCGTTTCTAAATGATTGTTATTTAATTGTGATATATTATATTCTTTTATCATTGTTTAAGTAAGTATTGATGGTCAATTTTTGGTAGTCACTCAAGATTGTCTCTTTGAACCCTTGTTTTTCCCTGCACTCATTATGCCTTGAAGTTCTGTGGTTATTGTGGAAGATAATGACTATATGAATATGAAGAATAGTAATTTTTAAGTATTACTTTCTGAATTTACCTAGTTTATGATTTTGTAATGTATTCTTGGTAATTGAAGTATGAAGGCAAAGAAACAACAATAAGGTATGATGATTGATTCTTCCTGAATTCAATTGTGAATTGACTTAGATAGTAATACTTTTATGTCTAATGTGTGGTTGTGATGTCGATAGTAAGTATTCCTCATCCTTAACCCTAGACTATTGAATTGGTTATGAAGTATGCAATAATGTTAATATATGATTATTATATGATTGAAAGTGACTTCTCATTATTATGATAAAGTGTTGAGTGAGAGGTTTAGTCACTTGTATGTGATTTTCAAAAGTGAAAGGGTAGTTCTCACTTAGGAATACCTATGAGTTATTATGATGATATGTTATCATAGGGGTTTGGAAGAGACTAATACGATCTTGCATGAAGAGTATGATGATTACTAAAGGGAATAAATGTTTAGCACCAAAAAGTAATGTAAATGAGATGGAGGTCTCATGTTTAGTAAGTCCTGCCATCCACATGGGTTTCTTCACGTTTAGTAAGTACGGATTCCCAAGGTATGTGTTCTCTCATGAGATGGAAACCTCCATGTTTGGCGAGTCCAGGTTTCTAGTAAAAATATCCTTGACCCTTAACTATGTGCCCACATAGGAATATACCTAAGTGGATTCACCTAGATAGCTATGTACGAATGGTTACACCTTAGGCAAGTGTTAACCCACTCTTTTCGGTGTGGAAGGAGCACACCGTATTCCATGTATCTCACATGGTCTCATGTTGTTTATTGCACTTCTTTCCCTAATGTACAAATTTAAATGAAAAATCCAAGAATGTGAACTATTATTAGGGCTTGCCCTAAAGGTTACTACATAGGATGAGGGAGAGTATGTGACTTCTCTTATTCATTGCACATATGGGATCCTTAGGGATGTTCTTGGTAGTGTTCTTGTATGATTAAGTTTATTTCATGTTGTGTATGTCATGTAATACATGATCTTATGAATCAATCATGTAATGACAAAGTATGAGGTTATGTTGTATGCATGTAGTAGGTGACTTGATGTGGTGCTTAATGAGGTTCTATTATTGGCATTGCAAAAGTGTTTCTTTGGGTTGCCTTTGTGTTAGGTTGATATCATGATTTGGTTGACTTATAATGTTCCATATATGTGCATGTGGAGTTACTGAACATAATGCATGGTTTTGACTACATTGTGTCTTTTTTCGTACATTGATGATTTTATGTATAACCATACTTAGTAAATGTGTTTCGTACTAACTCATATTTCTTCACTTTTTCCCAAACAATGTAGGTTCTGGTCAATGAAGAGCTTCTAATTCTCGTTGCAAGGATACTTTGACTTCTTCCTCTAAGTAGTTGGTGAGTCCTCCATGTTTGAGGATGGTGCCTTTTGATCCACCCTAGTAGTATAGATATTGTCTAAAGGCATTTGTTTATTCCGTATTCTTGAAGACATTTGTTGTAAGCCTATGTGGGAATATGTACTTGTGTAAGGGATATGCCTGAATGTTGTACTTTGTTTTAGATTGTTTAATCTGAGAAAAGATTAGACTAATTCGTATATAATGATTATATTGACTAAACGAGAAGCCTATTTAAGCTATATAAGTGACTAGCCTAAGTAAACTTCATATATGGTATGTGAGAGGGCTATGTATACCTCTATACGTAATAAGTTATAAATTTTTCCGCATTTTTGACCTATTATGTGTAATGATTAATACTAAGGTCTAGTCTAAGACCTCTTCGAGGACGAAGACACTGGTTACTTTTGAGGTGCTCCCCGATCGTACAAACTTGGTATTAGAGCATGAGGTTGAATAATCTTAGTATTGATGTCTCAATAAACCACGTTAAGTAGATTCTTGTTCATGATTGTGAAGCGCGCCACAATTATGAATGAGAGGTTATGTTATTCCTAGGAAAGTCTACCTTTGTTGGTATTGTTGAAGTCGTGCCTTTAGAGTCTTAAATCTCCATGTTATCATCATCTTATATCTTTCTTGTGCTTTTAGGCAATGAATACAAGAATAAACAACGCTAGAAGGGTCAAAGAGGAGAATGTGAATGAGGTGGTTCCCCCTCCATATCCTCAAAACCCTCAAGTTCTTATTGAAGAAGGGGCTATGTCTAATGTTGAGATAAGGGAGACCATTCATAGCTTAAATCAAGTGTTGGCTACTCAAGTTGATAGGGATGCTAGGTTCAAAGTGAACCCCAATTCTAGCACCACCGCATCAAGAATAAGGGATTTCACAAGGATGAATCAGCCTACTTTCTCTGGCTCCAAGGTGGAAAAGGACCCTCAAGGGTTCATTGATGAACTGTTCAAGGTAGTAGATACTATGGGAGTGTATTCTCAAGAAAAGGCAGAGTTAACCGCCTACCAACTCAGCCTACAAACTCAAATATGTGGCTCAAGTTTGGTATTAGCAATGGAAGGATGAAAGGTCTATTAGAGAAGGTCGGATTACTTAGAGAGCTTTCAAGATGGCCTTCCTTTATAGGTTCTTTCCATTGGAACTAAGGGAGAGGAAAATGCAAGAATTCATCAACTTAAGCCAAGAGGGTATGAGTGTGAAGGAGTATACCCTCGAGTTCACTCACCTATCAAAGTATGCTCCTACTATTGTGGAGGATTCTAGTGTCATGATGAAAGAATTAGTTATGGGGGTATCGATATTGTGGTGAATGATTGTAAATCGACTATGTTTATTCCTAGCATGGACATCTCTCTCTCATGTTTCATGTCAAATAATTTGAGGAACAAAAGTTCAAAAAAGTTGGTAGAGAATTGACGAGGACAAGAGTTAAAGATGAAAATTCATCTAAAGCTAGACTTGAGGTGCACGATAAGCGAAGGTTCAAGAAAAGGTTCCCCAATCAAAGTACTTATACCATTCCAAGTGTCAACAAAGGTAAAGGGTCTACACCCAATCCTAAGGAGGATAAAGGTAATGTTCTTTATGTTGAGAAGTCTACTTGTGCTAAATGTGGCAGAAAACATGAAGACAAGTGTCTAGTTGGCATGTGAAATTTCTATGATTGTTGTAAGAATGGTCACATGAAGAGGGATTGTCCTAAGATGAAGGTACAAGTTTGACAAAATTCTCAATCACAAGAAAATGCTCCCAATCTCGATGCTCCTAAGAAGAATCTCTTCTAGGGTCGTCACCGGTATGTTACAAGTGTTCTCTACTAATGTCTACTCTTTACTAAATCCCGTGCTACCTTATCATTTGTAACCCCTCTAGTATCTAGAAAGTTCAATGTATCACCCGATGTTCTAATGGAACCTTTTGCAAATCTTACCCCGGTGAGTGACTCCATGGTGGCTAGAAGAGTCTTTAGGAATTGTACAATATCATAGCCCAATAGAGTTACTCTAGTTGACTTGATAGAGCTTGAAATGTTTGACTTCTATGTCATATGGGGGATAGATTGGTTACATGCTTGTTTTTCTTCCATAGATTGTAGAACAAGGATAGTCAAGTTCAAATTCCCAAATGAACCTTTCTTAGAATTGAAGGGGGGTAAATCCATCCCTAGATGTTGAATTATTTTGTGTCTAAAACCTTATAAAATGATCTCTAAAAGGAATCCTTATCATGTAGTTAGGGTCAAGGACCTTGAATTCGAAATTCCTCAATTAGAGTTTCTACCTGTAGTGAGGGATATTTCGGAAGTCTTTCCCGATGACTTACCTAGAGTGTCTCCCCTAACGGGAAGTAAAATTCATCATAGACTTGTTTCTAGATTCCCTATCGGATGGGTCTGGCCGAGTTTCAAGAACTTAAGCTTCATATCAAGGACTTTACTTGACAAGGGTTTCATAATACCTAGTATTTCTCCTTGTTGTGCTTCAGTGTTGTTTGTAAAGAAGAAGGATGGTTCAATTAGGATGAGCATCGACTACCGTCAACTAAATAAGGTTACTTTAAAGAGAAAGTATCCTCTCCCTAGAATTGAAGATTTGTTTGAGCAATTACAAGGGACAAGCTACATTTCTAAGATTGACTTGAAGTCGGGTTATCAACAAATTAGGGTTAGAGGTGAGGACATACTAAAAATGGCTTTCCCAACTAGGTATGGTCACTATGAGTTCCTATTGATGTCTTTTGGTCTAACCAATGCCCCGACGCCTTTCATGGACCTTATGAATAGAGTATTCCGAGATTACCTTGATTCCTTTGTGATTGTCTTTATTGATGATATCTTGGTATACACTAAGAGCGAGGATGACCATACGAATCATTTAGGGGTAGTATTGAAAGTCCTTAAGGAACCCCAACTATTTGTACAGTATAGTAAATGTGAGTTTTTTTTAGGATTAGTTACGTTCCCTGGTCATATTATCTCAATTGAGGGTATAGATGTAACACACTGTAGCCAAAACAGACAAAAAACTAGCTTTACAAAAGAAAAATAATCTGCAAGTGCAACCAACGGTGGCATCAACAGACCGTAGCCTGACCCACGGTCTGTCCAGAACAAACGTCGATGGGATCAGAAACTCCCAAAAATTTCAGCCAAGAAAAATTGGTTATGTCTTAGACGACGGACGGACTTATGGTCTGTAGGTAAGATGATGGTTCGTAGTCCGTGACAGTCGATCAAGACTCCCCAGAAAAATTAGTTAAGTCTTGGAGGACAGACGGACTTACAGTTTGTAGGTCAGACGATTATTTGTAGTCTGTGACCGTCGATCAAGAATCCCTTCACCCACTCTCTAACAAGAGCTACGGATGACCAGCAGGGTCCGTAGGTGGAACTATAGTCTGTTATCTTAATGTAGGTGGAATATTTGCAGAAAATTATGGGGAAAAGCAGTTGGGTCAACTTAATATGGTCATAACTCTTAGCACAAAATGAATTAGGTGTACCATAACCTACCAATGATAGATAACTGAATCATCTTTCTAGAGCCACCAACCTTGCTAAATTCAAATCTCCGAGTAATATGTTATGCCCATTTTACTAAAGACTTGTCGAACAGGCCCAGTCAACGGATCCAACGATGGGGCGTCTGTCAGACGACGGACCGTCAGCCCTTGCCATCGTTTAGTTCGACAGCAACTTACCCAGGGGACTTTTTGTATTTTCCCACTTACTTTAAACCTTAGGTTACGTCATTTTGGCCCTAAATAATTATATGTCAGTCATCTTAAGCGTATAAATATCATTAAAGCATATCTAAGTCAAATAATTGAATCAAAAGTTAGAAAATTATAAGCAAGAAAGGAGAAAAAGTTCAAGAACCCTAGTTAAAGAATGCAACAAGCTCCAGTAGTTCTAGCCCCAAAAGCTAAGTATTTTTCCGAGGATTTCATCACCAGGTATGTGGGATTTCACTAGTGGGTTCCTTACACCCATTGTGTCCCTAGTTTTATGTCAGATTCTTGATTCCCATATCGTGATTGCATTTAAGGGTTTCTAGAACTTCATGAAATTATTAGTTCTATGTTCCAAATAATATTATCATGTTATTATTCAGTTTATATCAGGAGTTCAGAACCCTAGCTTTGTATTTCTCTAGTTCTTGAATTACACATAGTAGGTCAGATATTTGAGACACATTAAAATATACATGCCTCAGTTATAAATGCATAATTACTAGATTAATTGTTGCATCTTAGTTTGAATGTTCAGTTTCAAGTTATCCATTATTTATAGAAACTCAGACATAATAAGTAAATTTACAGAATTCATGGGAGTAGCGTAATACCGACTTGGACTAGGGTTTAGCATGCCCAATAGTCTCAAAACTACTTGCCACATAGGTTTTAAGTCCCCTCTGTGGGCAATCAGTTTAGTGATCACGCCAGCATGCTGTTATACCTTTGGCAAGGTATATTGAGTCCTCTCGATGGGGCGTATATATCGTACTCAACATTTAGCTCATGTGGTTTTATTATCGATTATTAGTAGCTCCCACAGACCAGTCAAACTCTCTACATTGACCATTTATCAGTATATCCAGTATTCAGTTTCAGCATGTTATAAATTGGTTATTGCATCCAGTTATCTCATAATTTAGTTTATCATGTCAGATTATGATACATGTTGTTATGCTTGTTCACTTATGTTTTATTTTAGTTTTACTCTATCCTACATGATCAGTACCTTTCAAGTACTTACGCATACGTGCGCTACATCTTCTAGTGATGTAGTTTTAGGTTCTCAACATACAGATCATGCATAGATCAATTTCCAATCTCTAGTTCGCAGATTCAGTGGTGAGTCCTCATTCTTCGAGGACAACAGCATGAGTGTTATCTCAGTCTTTAGTCATTTAGTTTCAGTTTCTTCTAGGTTTGTCTCAGTATTTCTAGTCCAGTTTAGAGGATCATTTCGTACATAGTTAGCTTCATCTTAGTATTGAGTTAATATTTCCTTTGTATTAAACTCATTGTTTTCAAATATCTCAGTTATAGAATATGGGTATTCCCCATCTTTTCATATTTAATTACGATTTAGCTTTGGCATTAGTTTATTATCTTTAGTATGCTCATGATCATTCCAGCAGGGTTAGCTAGCGATCAATTATGGTCCTAGATTTCGTG